GCCAACGCCCCTCACTCCTGACCTGCCACCCCACTGCTATCCCAGCCTGTTCTGCCCTCCCAGCCTCAGATTTCCTCCCTGCTCACATCCCTGGATCGTGCAGTGCTTTTGTGCTTCTGAATCTGCTCAGTAAGGACTGTGCTGAGCCCACTCGATGACAGCCGGGGCTTCAACACAGGCACTTTGACACCCTGCATATCCAAACCCTGGCTCCTTGCCTAGTGCTGCTGTTTTCCACTGAGCAGATGGGAATGCCCAGAAGCCTGCTCAGGATCAGGGCCCCATTGTGCTAGATTCTCTGCAGACACAGAGATAAACTCGCTCCAGCCCCGAGAACTGCCAGGCCAGGAACCTCCCTTTGGAAAGTCACCTGGGCAGGGCCGGCTCTGGCTTTTTGGCCGCCCCAAGCAAAATACAAAAACAAAAAAAAAATGGGGCGGCCAGAACAGCAAAGCAAAAAAACAACAACCTGCGGCGCGGCAGGAGCGCGGGTGCAGGGGGACCGGCTGGGGGGGATGGGGAGGGAGCGGGCAGGAGAGAGAGAGAAGGGGACGGCCAGGGCTACAGCAGGGGCGCTGCCACGCGGCCCCTCCCGCTGCGCCGCCTCCTGCCGCCTGCCGCGAGGGCTCCGCTCCGGTCGGTCGGCGGGGAGGGAAGGAAGAGGACTGCCCTGCAGGGCGCTCTGGTTCTCCACGCCGCTGCCCCCTACAGGGCGGCCGGAGCGGAACAAGAACAACAACAACAACAAAAACGGCCGTGCCGCCCTAGGATTGGGCAGAATGCCGCCTCCAACAATCTGCCGCCCCAAGCACCAGCTTGCTCAGCTGGTGCCTGGAGCCGGCCCTGCACCTGGGCGTCACAGGTAGCCACATGGATGCCTATTGGACATGCCTGGGGGCCTAGCCCTGGTCAAGTGAGTGAAGCCCAGGTGCAAGGAGTGGTCATGCTGTAGCACAGTGGGCAGAGGAGAGGAAACCTCAGCCCAAGGGAGTCAGGCAGGCCCAGGCACCTACCCAGCAAGGCCATCCACAGCTCCCCAGGCAGCCTGGGTCCATGTGGCTCAGGGTAATGCGCTGGCTTAACCCTTGCCTTGTCTAGCCAAGGCCGGAGTGCATGAGATCATGGATCCAGCTGCTTACCCGCCGGTGCTGATGGCTGTGGGCACAGACGACTGCAGCAGCACACGCCTTCAGGCCAGGAGCAGCAGGGGCTCTTGGCACGGCCTGGCAAGAGGGTTTGTGCTCCCGGGGGCTGGGGCCCAGACAAGGCTAGTGAAAACTTGGTGTGTTCCAGGAGCATCGACCTTCGAGACCGGGGCTAGGGGCTGGAAGGACGTCAGTGTGGGCCAGCTGCAGTGGGCGAGGCAGAAAGCCAGCGAGGCCTTACTGCCTGGGGCAGACCACACCACCAACACCTCCACAGGTGAGACCACCCGCAGGGGAGCCCCCTGCCCGTATGCAGCTGAGACCCCTGCCCCCCCACCCTTCCACCAGTGAAACCCCCCCACCCCATCACCCCACAAGGGAGACCTACCCACCCCCTAACCCGCCCTATGGGGAGACCCCCCCACCCCATCACCCCACAAGGGAGACCTACCTACCCCCTAACCCGTCCTATAGGGGAGACCCCCCTGCCCCTACACAGGTGAGACCCCCCTGCAAGGGAGACCTCCCACCCCATCACCCCACAAGGGAGACCTACCTGCTCCCTGCCCCTTCGCAGGTGAGACTCCTGCCCCCTGGGGGCAGTGGGAGAGGGGAGGGGTGGCAGGCAGTGCTTGGGGGAGTGGGGGAGGGGAGGGGGCAGGCGGTGCCTGGGGGCAGTGAGGGAGGGGTGACCATTCCCCCGCCATGGCCTGTGTTTCCTGCCTAGGGAGTTATCTGGGTGTGGCGCTGGCTCCAGGCCAGATGGTGTCCGGGGCCAGGGCTCGCACCCCTGTTCTGGGCCCCTCGGGCCTGGCCTGCTCCGTGGAGATGCACTACTGGCTGCACAGCGACCTCCAAGGTACCCGCGCTCGCTGGCCCCCGGCCGTGTTCCGCTCAGCTCTCCAGCGCGGGGGGAGGGGTCCTATGCCCCGTCCCCCACAACATGCCCAGGTCGTAGCACTCCTGGGGCGGGCCTTAGGCACTGCAGGGGGAGGAGGCAGCCATGTTCTGCCTATCTGCCCCAGGGAAGAGGTTTCTCTGAGCCCCACCATCCCATCCCCATCCCCAGGCAGTGCAAACCCAGCCTCCCTGCTGGACGTGATCCCCCCCAATCCCCCCCCCATCAGAGCAGCAAGGAGTCACCAGACGGGTCACTGCCGGGCAATGAGCTTGGCTGCCTGGCTCGGATCCCCCTGCCTGACACAGCTGCTGGTCCTGGGCCCTGCCATGCTGGGTGGGCTCCCAAGGATGCTGCCAGGCCGGCGGCTAGGGCCAGAGGCTGCCCCGCCATCCCCCTCTCCCTTTGCTAGGGTTCATTGCGCTCGGCATCGTGGATCATGCCCTGGGGACACACAGGCTGGCGTGGCACACGCAGGGCAACGGCAGCATGGCGTGGAAACACATCACTGTTCCGCTTGGGGAGAGAGCCAGACCCTTCCAGGTGGGCAACGCAGCCTGAACACACTTCTCTCGGGCCTCGTGGGCACTCCGAGGGCGCCCCCAGCACATGCAGCTTGGGCACCGCCCCCCAAGAGCAAAGCACTGAGCCAGGGGTAACCCGGAGGTTAAATGGGGCGAGGGGACAGGCTGGTCAGGGGGCCAGGATGGAACCGGAGCCCTGCATGTCTCGGTGCTGACTCCAATCCAGCCGGGGGCAGTGCCCAAACTCAGCCCCAGCCAATGGGTGGAGGGTGGCCGATCTCAGACCATCTCCATCCTGGGGAGACAGGCAGGGGTCCCAGCAACGACTGGCTTCTAGCTGTCAGCTGCCAAGGGCTGAGTGGGCCCCAGAGATGGAGCTCCTGTCTCGTTCCCAGGGGGACCCCTGCAGGGTGGGATGTGAGGGGGCCACTGCCCATCCACCGCCAGGCTGCCACACAGCACCTCTCCCCTTTGTGCTGAGTTTGCACAGAGACTTCAGGGCCCCGAGTGTCCGGAGGGGACTGTGGGGCCAGGATGGGGCGTGTGTGGAGCCATGGCGCTTACCAGGGCTGCTGTCCCCTTAGCTGGAGCTGATTGCCCTGGTGAAGCTGCGCGGCCCCGTGGTGCAGAGTGCTGCTGTGGACGATGTTGCGTTTGTGAACTGCGACCCCTGCTTTACCCCTCCAGACGCCTCGGGTACGTCTCTCCCTGGGGCACCGCAGGACCCCCCAGGGAAACGGAAATGGAACACTTGACCAACTTCTGCCTCTGGGGGGCCTGCTCTGCTGCTGGCCCAGGATGGGTGGACTCACCAGCCCTGACCCATTCATGCTCTGGGGCTTGGTTCCAGATGGTGCCAGGTGCAGGATTTGCTCTTTTCCATGGGTTAGTTACTACCACCACATGAAGAGCAGGTTTACAACAGGCTGTGGCCATGGGGCGGCTCTAGCTTTTTTGCTGCCCCAAGCACGGCAGGCAGGTGGCCTTCGGCGGCGCGCCTGTGGGAGGTCCCGTGGCTTAGGCATACCTGACGCCGAATTGCCGCCGAATCCGCGGGACCGGCGGACCTCCCGCAGGCATGCCACCGAAGGCTGCCTGACTGCCGCCCTCGCAGGGAACGGCAGGGCGCCCCCCGCGGCTTGCCGCCCCAGGCATGCGCTTGGAGCGCTGGTGCCTGGAGCCGCCACTACTGTGGCCGGAGGTGCCCTGCACTGGCATGGTATCGAATTTAGTGCACAGGGACTCCACCATCCTGCATGCTGCCCGTGTTGGGCGCCGAGTTGAGGTGGGTGATGGAGGCGCCAGGGTGTCTGCATGCTCATCCCAGAGCCAATGATCTCCGACCCTGCAGCCTCCCTTGCCCTTCTCCCAGGTTTGTGCCTCTCGTCCCCTGGGGATGGTCCCCCTTGCAGAAGGTTGGGGACCAGTGGTGTCAATGGGAGTTAGGCACCTAAATAATTTTGAAGATCTAGGCCCAGGAGTCTAGTCCCAGCAGCAGAATCTCACGCTGTCAGATTCACATTCCTAGTGCCCATGCAGGGGCTGATGCTGAGAGTGTCTCCAGCACCATGTGAGCAGGAGAAGGACTGGGAACCCTGGATACCCTTTCTTCTGATCACTGCCCAAGTGGCCTTCCTTCCTGCAGCCACCACGTGCCCTCTGGGCTACTCCCCGCCCTCCAGGGGGTGAGCCGGATTCCTCATGCCTGCCAAGTGCTCCAGGCTCCCACCAAAGGGGTAGGGAAGGCCACCGGGAGCCAGCAAGTACTGGAGCCTGCTCTTCCTCCTGGGCAGAGAGAAGGGCATGTAAACCACAAAGGGCTCCACCTCCTTCTATCTGGAGAGCCCAGAACAAGGAGCTCACCCCAACTCCAGATGGAGAAACTGAGGCACGGGCACATTAAGTGACTTACCCAGGGTCACCCAGTGAAGCAATAGCAGAGCTGGCATAGAACCCAGGAGTCCTGACTCCCAGTTTGCTTGCTCTGACCACTCAACCTCACGCCCTTTCAGAGGAACCCAATTTCCTGCTCCCCAGGAACGTAATTTCCTGCTCCTTTGCTCTGGCCACTACACCTAAGAGCTCTTTGGAATTAGTGGGGGCGGGGGTGGACCATAGCAGCTGTAACGTGGCTCCGACGTGGGGCTGAGCCAGACGTGAGGAGTTTGGTTGCAGGATGGTGGCCCCCGGCCCCCGCCCCAGTCTCTGACTTCGTTCACAAGTTGGCCTTTCCTCTCTCTGCACAGAGCTGTCTTGCAACTTTGAGATGGGGCTCTGCGGCTGGTACCAGGATCAGAGCGATGATTTTGAGTGGGTGCGAGGCACAGGGCTGGGGCTGGGCTCTGACCACACCACTGGCACAGGTGGGTCCTGCTGGGGAGCAGGAGGGCTTGCCCCAGAAACTCCTTGGCTATGGGGTGGGTTGGAGTGGTGGCTCTGGGATCTATTCCAAACTCAGCCCACAGAAGGCGAGCTGAGGGCCAGGAACTTTAGAAGGCAAAGCTGGGCCCCTAGTTGTGGAGTGCGGGGGGCATGCCTGGGCCCGGGCCCCAGGCTGGGCCGTGGGGCAAGGCAAGGGCTCTGGTACGGAGCAAGCAGAGTTCTGCTGGAAGAGGCTGGGTTTGCTTCTGTCTGCTGCCTTTCCAGCTCACGGGTTGCCAATACACCTGGGCTGGGGTAAGGGCCTGGCCAAGATCTGGGTGAGGCTGGTGTGGTGTGGTGTGGTGAGGCTTGGCCTGTGGCTGTAGCAAGCTGGGGCTGTGTGCAAGGAGGGCTGGGCTGGTTCTGTAGATGCCGACCTGCCCTTGTTCCTGCTCCTCCAGCTCTCACCATGGGCTGTGTTTGCTTCTGAAAGGCTATTTCTTGTCCGTGGATCTCTCCGCCCCAAGTACCTGGGGCCTGAGCGCGCGTCTCATCACCTACCCTCAGGACCCTCCCACCAGAGAGCAGTGCCTCTCGTTCTGGTACCGCCTGGATGGCCCTCAGAGCGGTAAGTGCACCCTGCTAGGGCTTCCAGGGGCTGGGCTGGGCCCATTCTGCATGGGGCAGGAGAAACAGATCCTTCCCCATCTCCTCCAGGAAGGTGCCAGTTGACATGCCTGGCATTGTGCATTCAACAGAGAGTGCCTCTGGCAAGGACACACTTGGGCACTGCCCATGAGGCCATGGTGAGGGGCGTGGGTGAGCCAAGGGCTGGAGCTGCGTTGCAGAGAGGGACATGTCCCTGCTATGTGGGTCACTCTGGTGCTCGCCCTTCCGGAGGTGAGGTCCCAGCTGCGTGGGTTGCCCCAGTGCAGGCTGGGAGAGAGAGTTCCCCAGCACGAGGAGCCTCTCTCGCAGCATGGCTCCCTCCCTTTCCTAGTGCCCCAAAGGACAGCCCCCTGCCCTCCCTGCCCCAGCCCTGCCGAGACTCCTCCCCACAGGCCCCTCGCTCACTGGCCCAGGGTGGCTGTTTTATGGGGGCCCAGCACTTGGGGCGCAAGGCCAGCTTTAGCTCCCGACAACCACAGGTTCCAGTCCCAGCTGCTCAGCCCAGCCCTTCTGGGGCGATGAACTGAGTGCCGGGCAGTGGCACGTTTCTCTTTGGGGACGTAAAACCCCGGCTCCTGTCCGTTCTGCCAATGCAGCTCCCTGGTCACTTTCCAGCAGAGGCTGCCGCTGCCTGCCGGCGGACACCCCCCAGAGCTGGCTGCAGGTCAGTGGGGAGAGGGTTCCTGGCTGTCTGACAGGTGCTCTAGGAATGCTCTGTGCCTGTTCCCACCTGCTCTTCGCCTGCCCATTCCCATGGGCGCCCTAACCTTCAGTTCCAACCCAGGCACGCTGAACCTAAAGATCCAGCACGATGGGGAGCCGGAGACGGTGCTCTGGACCCAAACGGGATCTCATGGCAGCACGTGGCACCTGGGATTCGCAACACTCAGTCGCCAGGCTCTCCAGAAGTACCGGGTAAGGCCCCGGAGACACTGCCTCCTCCCTCTTGGCACATGGGGAGTCACTGCAGAGCCAGGGGTAGGACTCCGGCCTTGCTGGCCCCAGTGCCATGCTGTGGTCACCGCCAGCCTCTCCTGGACTGTGCCTGCCCCATGTTTGTACAGCACCAGGCACATTGCTGGCACTCAGTAAGTGATAACAGCGAGGCTGTGCCACACTCCTGAGTCTGGGGCACTGCCATGTAAGCTCCATAAGGCTTTGTGCTGCTCACCCAACCACAGGGCACCTGGGCTGCAGCCCTGGCAGCAGCTGCTTTGGGGGGTCACTTGGGTATTTAGGTGTCTAACTCCACAGATTTCTGTGGCCATTGGGCTCCTCCCCAATACCTCTGAGGACCCTTTATCCTGTCCCATGCAGGCGTGGTGCTGACATGGCGCCTTCCAGTGGTGAGCATAGGCAGAGGCGGTGACAATGGGGGCGGTGCTCAGTGCTGTGTGCCTCCCTCCTTGATAGCTGATCTTCGAGGCTCTCCGTGACGGGTACCTGGGGGACATGGCCCTGGATGATGTCACCGTGCGAGCTGGAGCCTGTGGTCCCCAGAAGTCCTGCTCGTTCGAGGCCAATGCCTGTGGCTTCTCCTCCAGCTGGCAGTACACATGGGCACGGCAGAGCAACGCCACGGGCACTGCCACCGCTGGCCCTCCCACTGACCACACCATGGGGACAGCCCGAGGTAATGCAGCCCCTGTGCTTCTGCAGGGCTTTGGGGGCCCGTCTGCCTTCCTTGGGCCTGGCAAACAGCCACTGCACGCCACCTGCAGCACAGGGCCCTGGCCAACCACGAAGGTCCCGTGAGGTGCCGGGGACTGTCCTCACATGGTTCTGATTGCAGAAGACAGCTCTCCCACGTGCCCATGGGCTGATTATCAGGCCCATGGCTGCACCTGGCACACTGAGCTCTGCAGAAAAGCTGGTCCCCCGGGGGAAACCACGTGTGAGCAGCTGGAATGCTGCAGCATGGATGCTGCAGGGCAAGGCTGAGGTGGGGACCAGGACACGGGAGGGGGAGGGGTGAGCAGGGAGCTCCTGCGGCACTGCCAGGTGGGGCTGAGCCAGTCCATTTCCAGGGCACTCCAAAGTGGCCATGCTGATCTCCTGGGTTCGCGGTTCCACTGAGCCAGTGCAAACAGCCAGGGACCAGCCACATCTCCCCAGCCTGAGGGACGGGCTGAGGCAGGTCAGGCACCAGATTAAGGGTCTTTTAGGCTTTCGAAAAGGAGACGCGGGGGCTTGCTCGATAGTTGGCACTGCAGGGAGAAGACAGGCTGGGACTGGAAGGAAAAGGGCACTCCAGGGACCTGGGGCGCCGGGAGGTGCTGAGCATAGAAAGGGGCTGGGAGCAGGGCTGGGGGGCGGGTGAAGAAGGGCAGAGGAAACTTTCTGTTTGGTGGGAACATTTGAGCTTGGACTCTTGGTTTTCTCCCCCCTCTCCATCCCGGGGTTATGTTTGTTGTTAGATGGCTGGAGGGCTAAGCCACAGCTCCACCCCAGACTGGCGCGTGGCAGGCTGAGGGCACACACCTCGGGAAGAGAAACTGAGGCAGGGAGTGCTGGCAGTGCCATGCTGGGCCAACAGGGGGTGCAATAGAGTAGCCATACCCCTCTGACGATCTCATTGTCTTGAACTCTAGGAGGTGCCAGGTCGGGTAACAGGAGAGCTCTGTCAACCCGCATGGTCTGTGCTGGTTCAGGTGCACTGGAAGATGCAGTTATTCTCTGGCTTTTCCTTATTGTGGGCCTGCAGCTGGGTCCCTTCTCTGGTTGGTTGGAGGGCTGGCAGGGTCTGCCCAGGGCTGGTGCTGGGGGGGGGGTGTCCATGGCTGTGCCCCGTGCCCAGGGGTCTGCCCGGGGCGGGTGCTGGGGGGGGGTGTCCATGGCTGTGCCCAGGGCTCTGACCAGGGCTGGTGCTGGGGTGTTACCCGCACACTCTAGGGCACCCACTTTTACCTAGTTCCTAGGGCTCAAGGCGTAACCCAGTTGATTTAGGTACCCCCAGCCTTACCCAGTTCCTAGGGTTCAGGGCCAGAGGGAGATTTACTGTAAAACAAACCATGCAGTGGCATGGGGCCCCCAACGACGGGGGCCCCAAAATGCAGGACGAATCTGACAAAGGAATTAATTTAATAAGCATTGCAAGTTGCGAAGCAGTCCAGGCTTTCTGCATTCTGTGAACTTATTCTGCGAACTGTGCTCTAAACATGGTTTTTTGAAGTAGTCTAGCAAAGAATTTCGCTTTGCCATTTTTTCTCTGTCTCGGCAATAGCATAACAGCAACTAAGGGAAATTGTCATTTGCCAATCAAAGTCTGTCTGCTTGACCAATTATCCAATTGAACAAAAGCACCCTCCCCCGCACTCTGATACAATGCCCGTGATGTGTCACTAGGATGTAATGGTTCAAAATCCTGTTTTTACAGAGCTTGATAAAAACGCAGGATTAATGGTGTTAAAGCTAATTGGGTGGTCCACGGCCCACCCAGGCCCACCTGTGGCTAGGCCCCTGCTCTTTCAGACATTTTTAATCTGCCTAAAATCTAGGTCAGTTTTTTAGCAATAATGAAGTGACACTATGAGTCTGGCACTCAAAAATGCAAAAAAATGAAGGTGAGGCAAGAAGACGAAGCTAAGCAAAAAGACAGTTTGTCATCTTATTTTAAAAAGCTTGAAGTATTGAATAGTGGACATTCATCAAAAGTATGGGCGAGGAAACATCTGAACTATCTGATCACTTGCCGAGTTGTGGGGATACCACAACGACTGCAAAAGTTGAACAAGTGAACTCTGAAGTGACAATGGAACTACAAAATATTGGTAATTTTGTCGAAGTAAGGGAAGAAACCTACCCTGAAGACATTGCATTATGGCCAAAATCTGTTGCATTGGATATGATAGACTATTTCTTAGTAAATGAACCGAAAAACGTAGGTAATATGGAAAATTTGAGAAAAGAGTATGAGGTTGCACGACGAAAGCAATTTAGAGGTCTTCATGAGTCCCATTTTCTGAGGATAAGAAAAATGAGAATTTGGTTGATATTTTGGAAACCACTAAGGCAGGCTACTGTTATATTTGCAAATTATTCCCTGACCATAGTAAAGGACAACAAACATTCGTCGACGGGCACTCTAATTGGAGAAATATTGCAAGACATATTGCTGATCATGAAACTTCCAGTGCTCATATTAATGCTATGTGTAAGTTCGTTCAAAGGTGTAAATTATCTGGAAGAACTGATTCTGTTTTATCGGCTTAGTTTGAAAAGGAGTGTTCTTATTGGAGGAAAGTGCTGAGAGTGTTGTTGCCACGGTCAAACTGCTGTCTTCTTTGGGACTACCTCTAAGAGGACATAATGAGTCATCATTGTCAAATCAAAAAGGTAATTTTGTAACCTGCCTTGAATATGTTAGTGAATTTGACGATTTTCTCAAAGAACATTTGAAAAATGATCAGTATTGTGACTCAGGGAAGACCAACTTTTTAACACACCAAACCTACGATGAATTCATCACTGTAATGGCAGAGCGGCTCAGAAACCAATTCACTGATGAAGTAAAGGATGCCAAGTACTATTCCATAATAGTCGATTCAACACCAGATGTGAGTCATGTAGCCCAATTAACATTAATTTTAAGCTATGTGATCGGCAGTGGTGAAGTTGTAGAGTGGTTTTTTTTGTTTTGTCCCACTAAAATCCCACACTTCTGAATGTCTAGAGACAACTGTTTTGGAAATCATTGCAAATTTAGGTTTGTACATCAAAAATTGTCCTGGGCAGAGCTTTGATAAAGTCGCAAATATGGCAGGAAAATATTCAGGTCTACAGGCAAGACTGAACGATGCAAGCCCCTCTGCTTTATTCATACCATGTTCCAGCCATTCCTAAAATTTAATCTGCAACGCTGAAGCCGAATCCTGTGAGGGAGCTACACATTTTTTTGACTTTGTTCAAAACGTGTATGCCTTTTTTTCGGTTTCCACGCATCGGTGGAGTATGCTACAATCACGCTTGGAGCAGGCAAGTGAGAAACATTTGACAGTCAAAAGAATTTGTGACACCAGGTCGTCTGTTTGTACAGATGCTGTTTTGGCTTTGAAAATGAGCTATGATGATATAAAGAAAACCTTATTTGACAGAGCCACATCAAATTCTGAAAAACCACCTGCGAAAACTGAAGCAAAATCCTTAGCAGAAAGGTTTGAAAAGTAGGATAGTGCTGTTTTTACTCTTTTGTGGAACCATTTACTTCAAAGAATTAATGCCATTAGCAAATCACTGCAAAAGGTTGATACAATTGTTAACCTCAATTAAAAGTTTTGTCATGGACGTTCGAAATGACTATAGCTCGGTGGAAGCAGAGGCACTAACATTAACAAAAAATATAGGTTCCTCTGATATATCTGATGAGAAGCGTAAAAAAAGCAGGAAGTTATTTTTCGATGAAACTAGAGACAATGAAATCAATTTAAAAGGGAAAGAGAAGATCATCGCTGAGACCATCAATGTTATTTGTGACACACTAATAGTGTAATTGCAGAGTAGAGGTGAATCTCTAAAGAAAACTGTTGATTTATTTTGCGTCTTTTTTGACAGAAGTATGGATGAAAATGCTAAAAGCCACAGTAAGAAATTAAGGGAATCCTACCGAGAGGACATAGACACAAATCTTTTTGAAGATGAAGTGAAACATTTCGTTCATTTTATTGAAAATGATGAGGTCTGTGCTTCGAGATCACCAGCTGATTTGTATAGATTTGTATGTGATGGTTTGCAAGCAACCTTTCCAAATGTAGAAACCATTTTGAAAATATTTTTAACAATACCTGTCACAAATGCTTCGGGTGAACGTACTTTTTCTGTATTAAAACGAGTTAAAAATTATTTGCAAAATACGATGAGTCAGGAACATTTGACAAGGTCGGCAATATTGACAATTGAAAGTGCCTCTTTACAAAATATTACTTACGATGACTTAATTGACGATTTTATAAAGAAAAAGTGTAGAAAAAAAGCTATCCGAAGAATTTTTTTTCAGATTGAATAAGTTTCTTCAGAGGAAGTTAATTTTTATTTTTCCATTCATGCATCATCTATACTTTTTATTTTTACACATTTTTCATGTTAGCGTAATTTAAATACTAGCTTCATCTAGACCAGAAGTTCTCAACTGTGGTCTGAGAACTCCATTCAGGTGGACCGAGGAAAGGTTATTAAGTTTTTTTTTATAAAGCGCTCTTATCCAAAGCACTTTACAATAGTTAGCTTTTTGTAATAGTACAAACAACAATTGGAAAGATCATTAAGGGGTCCGGCGAGACCCTCAGCAATTTTCAAGTGGTCTGTGAAAAAAAAGTTAGACTACAAAAACAATCAAGGTACCTCACTTTATTTTCATTTATTTCCTATTACTTATAATATAGGAGGAGGATGAAGAAAAAAAGAATGAAAAATGGGGTTGGGGGAGATCAGAGAGAATGCTCTTTTTCTTGGCTGGATCTTGAGAGTCGGGCCCCGAAAATGAAGCTGCGCACAGGACCCCACTAACTCTAAATCTGCCACTGCTCAGGGCATAATCTTTTGTGGGTTTGCGGGGTCTTTTACCAGTGAAAGAGCCTTACACAGTAATATCCTTAACAGCTACCAAAACAGAACACACTCGCTAAGCAGGCAATGCTCACCACTCCCAATAAGGCAGACGAACTTTTCCTGGTGGCCAGGCAGGCTCAGGTCATCTGGGGCTTCAGCTTCTGCAGCGTGTAATTAGCAGGTGTTGAGGTCCGGCAGCTCTGATCTTGGGCTGTGGCCTGGAGTTCGTTCCAATCCAAAGAATTTCCTTTTGGACTCCAGTTTACATAGTTAAACTTCAGTCCTGCTTAGCTGTGCCTTAACCAACCATTTTACTAAAGTTTACAAAATAATTCTTTGACCAGTCCTAACATATTGAGACACAATTCTTTACCCACTCATACCCCGCCATCTTAGTTGATTTATACCTAGCAAAGTTAGTTATGTTACAGAAACAATCAAAGAACCAGACAGAGACCATTCAGATAAACAATGGAGACGTCTGGGTTTATGTCACTGAGGTCATGGAAGTGACTTGCAGAGACCTCCGTGACATTCTCTGCTTCAGCCCCAGGGGCTGCGGGACTCTGGAGCTGGCAGCCAGTGGGGCCCTGGCAGGATTCCAGCAACAGGTGACAGGGGGCCCCCTCCAAGGTTCCAGCAACAGGTGACAGACTCCTGAGGGGGCCCTCCTCGGACCTCGGGCGGGGGGACGGGAGACGCCTCCTTTGAGCGGCTGGGGGTGTCCCATTTTCTCTTTGGGCAATATGGTCAAGGGGGAACCCCACAGCTCCCAGCCACCACAGTGGCAGGGGAAACCATGGAACTGCAGCAGCAAAAGTCACAGACAGGTCACGGCTCCGATGGTGAATTTTTGTTTATTGCCCGTGACATGTCCCTGACTTTTACTAAAAATAACCATGACACAATCTTAGCCTTAATAATAGAGAAGTATGGATCATAAAGGCAAAACAATAAAGAAGAGAGATTTCACGACCCACAACTGCTGCTAAGTGATTCCTTGCCAGACAGAATGTCATCAAACAAAGTTTTCTTTAAATATCTTAAGAGATTCCTTGCTTATATGGTGATAGTGGGCGCTATTAGGACAGGAGCCTTCTCAACAGCCTGATATGACATTGTTTTAATGTAATTTAGAGGGAACGTGAGAATGTGACTTTCTGCTTCTTGGCTCCTGGCTGCAGCTCTCCTAATATGGCTGCAGAAAAAGGCCTCAGACCTTACCGGGGAGAGGGGTCCATGGCTGTACCCCATGCCCAGGGGTCTGACTAGGGCTGGGGCTGGGGTGTCCAGAGGTATGCCCCATCCCCAGGGGTCTGACTGGGGCTGGGGCTGGGGCTGGGGCTGGGGCTGGGAGGGATGAGGGGGTCCATGGCTGTGCCTTGTGCCCCTGGGTCTGACCGGGACTGATGCTGGCGGGTCCATGGCTGTGCCCCATGCCCAGTTCTGGGCCTGGAGTGATTAAGTGACTCTCTGCCAGGCTGTTGGGTTTTGTTTTTCACAGGATATTACATGATTGTTGATACCAGCAAGGGCTCCCTGCCCCGTGGGCAAGCAGCCACTCTGAGCTCTGGGCAGTACAGGCCCCTGACTCATCCGCAGTGCCTGGGCTTCTGGTACCAGCTGAGCCCCAGTGACCCAGGTGAGCCCGGAAACCCCACCCCTTTGATCTCCTCGGGCTGGCGGGTGCAGAGATGCTGGGCAGTGGAGGGAGGGGCAAGAAGCTGTGGAGGAAGGCTGGTCTATGGTTGAAGCCAGGCCTGGGAGTCAGGACTCCTGGGTTCTGGTCTCGGCTCTGCCACACACTTGCTGGGTGAGCCACGGCCCTTCTTGGGGCTTGGTTCCCTCGTGGTAAACTGGGCATCCTGACCCCCTGCCCATGACCTCACAGGGAGTGTGAGTAGGAGTGTGGGGAGCTTCGACCTAGGAACAAATCCCACTGCCTCCTACTTGTGCCCTGGCCTACTTGTGCCCAGGTGCAAGCTCCTGGTAACACTGCCAGTGCCATGGGCTTGGCGGTGCCGCTGCTCCCTGCCCTCTGCTCCGGTGGGTGGCCCTCAGGAGATGTCCCCTGTCTCTGGCTTTGCTAGGTTCTCTGGCGGTGTGTGTGAAGGAGAAGGGGGTGCAGCGGAGGCTGTTCAGCGTGAGCTCAGTGCAGGGGGACGCTTGGCGCTATGGTAAAGTGACTGTCCAAGCGGCTGAGGACTGGCAGGTGAGACAGCCATGGGACCTGGTCCCTGACTGGCGCTCTGATGCGCTGGCAGAACCTATAAATAACAGGGTGATCAGTCAGATCCCAGCCTGAGTCAGAAAGGAGCTCCAGAGCCCTGGCGCCCTAACCCTGGAAGCCGCACTCCACGCAGTGCTCTGAGGGACTTCCCCAGCCCCGGCTACTCCGCGGGCAGCCAGCCGTGGGTGGAGGCTGGACTGGGCCTGCCAGGCCTGGTGAGGGGAAGGAAGGGCAAGTCCTCCATCGGAGCTGGGTTCTCATCTAGCCTAGGTAGGTCTTACACCATGCGCCTCCCCGTGGCACATGGGCACCGGCCAGCAGCGGGGGTGGAAGGCTGGAGCAGACCTGGGCTAGTCCTGGGGCACCGTGCTGTTGCTGCATGGCTGAGACCCGTGGGGTCTATCAGCCTCTGGCCCAGCCTGCACAAAGAGGAGGGGCAGAGCAATGCCATGGGTGGGCCTGGCACCTCCCTTCCAGGCTGCATGAGAGCATGCCCAGCCCCAGTGGTGTCCAGTCAGCTCTGGCTGGGCCGAGCCTGACCCTGAACCTGCTCCCTGCTCTCTTTGGCAGGTCGTGTTCGAGGTGGTGAGTGCTGGGGGTGAGCTCTCCTATGTCGCCCTCGATGATCTGCACCTGAAGGCTGGCAGCTGCTCAGAGCCAGGTACGGGGCTGGTAGTGCCCAGGGCCCACCAGGGCAGGTGCTGTCCAGACACAGCTCTTCAGAGCTGGGAAGTCTGGCTGGGGACGGGGAGGGCAGCCCAGCAGCCTGAGCAGGGGGCAGTGAGGGGAGTGGGTTCAGCTACACGGGAAAAGGGGGGCAGGGCAGGGGAAGGTAGGGGGGGTGCTGAGGTGAGGACTGAGGGGGGGCGGTTGGCGCAAGGTGCCAGCCAGCACCGCGCGGAGTCTGAGCAGCCCGAGGTCCCTCTTTGGTGCCTGCCTGTGGGAGGTCTCTGGCTGGCTTCTCGCTGCAGCTCCTACAGACCACGGGGAGGGGGGTTGTACCCCTGGACAGATCCTGGCCAGTTGTGTGTCAGGGTCAGAGTGGACAGGCCAGGGGCGGCTGTGACACATGTACGCTGCTGTGCGTGGCAGGGTCAGTCAGGAGCTGGCCCCTACCAATCTGAACATGGCAGCCAAGGCAGGGTTGAGAACCTGCTGCTCTGCCCAGGTGCGGCAGGTTTGTATAATTTTTGGTGGTGCCCAGAACGGGTCCAAGTCCCGCCCTCTCCCCTGCCTTGTAAGCTTATATATATGTTTTAAAATAATGTAAAAATGGACTGGAAACAGTAAGCGCTTAACAGTTTCCCTATATTGCACAATGTGTGTGGGGGGGGGG